GTCACAATAACTTTAAAATGTCAAAATACTTGACACATAAATATACACTGCCCAAATGTTCGAAAAAAATGTGTAAAGAGTCATATTCATTTTTTTTGGAACCAGCTGTACATCAATTAGGCTGCAGGCACCATCCGAACCACGAGTTGGTTCGTTGATAACTTGTACAAGATTAAAAGACTCTAAAATTGAAGTGACCGAAACAATTGAATATGTCAATCAATCCTAATTTATGTCATATACTAACATACCAAATCTCGTTGTTTTATCCAAAAAAATAAAAAAGTTATAGGGGTGAGCCACTTTTGAGACGCACCCAGTATATTTATCCGTTCGTATCTGAGGGACAAAATTTTACGACCTACATCGACATGCTTCAAAATAAACTAAACCAAGCGATCATGCGAATCGCTCGCCGCTTACTACATGCCGTTCATTACCGAAAGAATATGTGCCCTGCGCACGCAGCTTACCGCTTGGCGCTTGGCGTTAACGAATACTTACAAGATGCGACGGACAAAAACCAGTATTTTTAAATACGTAACCGAGTGATCACTCGGTTATTGCAATCGCTTGATACTCGAGTACTCGATTATTGAAATTAATCGTTTTTCCCATCACTAGTAGATATACCAAATAAAGTTTTAGCTACGTGATCTAACTTGCCGACCGGTACAGCGTTGCCGACTTTTACTACTACTTTTTCTATTACTTACTTTTTATTTTATTTTAATCAAAATATTTTGGGAAACAAAAATCTGTTAATTATAAATAAATAAACTGTTATTATTTACATCAACAAAATTAACCTCTTTAACAGCAGTTAAGGGACATTAAGCGCAAGTCTCGTTTTTCATTTCAGAATATTATAATAAGATTGAGATGAGTTTTTTGCAACAGCTGTTATCTGCTCCGGCATCTTGCACACTTCGCACTACAAGCCGTTCTAAAAAGAACAATTATTTTCGACTGCAAGTTTAACGTACTACAACACAATTCACTTAAACCGAAAATTCGCAATACAAAACTAAAGTGTGAATAAAAACAAGAAATAAATAAATATGTCAAGTTGACATTTTTTACGGCAAAGCTACCATCTGAATCGTACGGAAGCGCTGAGGGGCCAGCTGAGTTCTTTTTATATATGACTATAGTCAGATAATAACCGACTATAGTCAGATAACAACCGACTATAGTCAGATAACAAATGACTATAGTCAGATCATAACTGACTATAGCCAGATAATAAATGACTATAGTCAGATAATAACTGACTATAGTCAGATAATATTTTTAGAGACACCCTGTAGACTTTTATAAAAACATGCCGCCGCCACTGGACATTTTATGAATGAAATCGGCCATGTTTTATTACTACTACCTTCCCCTTACCGACGCCGCGCTGTTAGAAACTCCCTTGCCTCTCTTTATAGGAGCATCTTAAGTGGACCACCCTGTACGTAGGTTCGTAGGTATATGATATAAATGAGCATTATTTGGACATATTCAATTGTTTTTTTATTGCTTCCGGTTTAACGTCCACCCTCGATCCATTTGAAAAAATTGACTTAAAAGGTCATAAATACGATTTTGCAAACTTTAAACGGGTCTGTAGTAGAGGTTATACAGATCAAAAGACAATCACAGCTATTTTTCCATGACTACTTGATCCAAAATTAACCAACCGTTTTCACGCATTTATGGGCGCTCTGGATTGAAAATTAAAAATTTTTAGAGGTTAAGTTTTAAAGATGGGCAAATTGGTTTACATACATACATACATACATAGATGAAGTTGCAGAAACTTTATGGTGCGTTTAGACTTGAGCACGCACGCACTGATCCTCCGCGAATGCTCAAGTGTAAACGGCTGTGCGCGCACGCTCACCCTGAATCTGTCTGTGCGCGAGCAGCCGCGAACGTGAGCCGTCTGGTGTCGGTTTTTGGTCTGTGCTCAAAGGGATTTTATGTGTGCGCGAACGCTCAGTTTGCACCGGCAATTTGTTTTGTCTGCGTTCGTGCGTGCGTGTGTGATTTTTTTTCGTTTTCTTTATTGAAATTATGGAGTGGATCAATGAATCTTCGTTATTATTAATTGAAGAATATGAAAAGTTGCCTATATTATGGGATGTTAAACATTCTGTGTATTATTAAAAAATAAAAAAAACGCATGGCAAAATCTTGTAAATAAAATTAATATTGACTATGTCGATATTAATGAAATTGCTATTCTAAAAGTTGTATCGTTTGTTCGTAATTTTTGGTGTTATTAAGTTTTGTAAATATTCAAAGTCGGGTCTGGTCATTCTTGTAAAGTTTTTGAACTGATCATAGCCCTCCTCAGACACGGAGTTGTTGCAGTAAATTATATCGATTTCTAAAAATTTGGGTTTGCCACCAGCCACGATGTTTTCGTTTTTTCTCCTTTTTAATTATTAAGCTGTGCATAACAATGACTGCAGCCTCGACTATTTCTTGGTCGTCCATTATTTTCGCCAACACAACTCTGCTGTGCGCGCACAAATGGATCACTTCATTCGTCCAAAAATAAGTTTTTAATTTGAACGGAGCCGAGAGCGCGAATGAATGCCGGACGCGCACGCTCAGCTCGTGCGTGCTTAAGTCTAAACGCACCATTACAAAGAGAAAAGATAAGAAACCTAATCTATATTTAAAAGCTTTTATTTAACTTGCATTGTATGTATGTATGTATGTATGTAACCCAATTTGCCTATTTTTAAAACCTATCCTCCAAAAATTTTTAATTTTCAACCCAGAGCGCCATAAATGCGTGAAAACGGTTAATTTTGGATCAAGTAGTCATGGAAAGATAGCTGTGATTGTCTTTTGGTTTTTATAACCTCAACAGAGCCGTTTAAAGTGTGCAAAATCGTATTTATCAGTAAATTTTTTCAAATGGATCGAGGATGTACGTTAAACCGGTTAAGCCGGAAGCGATAGAAAACAATTGAATATGTCAAATAATGCACATTTATATCATATACCTACGAACTTACGTACAGGGTGGTCAACTTAAGATGCTCCTATAAAGAGAGGCAAGGGAGTTTCTAACAGCGCGGTGTCGGTAAAGGGAAGGTAGTAGTAATAAAACATGGCTGATTTCATTTATAAATGTCCAGTGGCGGCGGCATGTTTTTATAAAAGTATACGGGGTGTCTCTAAAAATATTATCTGACCCCATAGTCATTTGTTATCTGACTATAATAAGGTTGTTAACTCACGAGCTAGAGGTCGGTTATTATCTGACTATAGTCATATATAAAAAAAAACAATGACACTCAGCGCAGCTTCACACGCAGAATCGCAAGTACAGGAAATTTAAATTCTAGTTAGTCAGCCCGGTGTCGAATATGTCCATGGTTGGCAACACTTAATTTAATAATCGCGCCCTTGATGACGTAGGTAACTAAAAGTTTATTTGGTATCGATTATAGATTACCTCTACTTCTGTAAACAACGCAGGATTTCTGAGCAATATATTATACATGCAATGTGACACGTTGAAGGCATGCTCCCAATTGTGGTAGGGATTTGGTCTATAACATTTTCGGACTGTTAAAATAAAATCGACAAGTAAACCTATGTTCATATCTGTAAACCCAACAACCGTTTTCAGCATGTGGTACACCATTTGCGGCATAATGGGTTCTTCTTCCACGGAGATATACCATCTAAAACTACAAGAAAGAGAAATACAACTTATTATTTTACATACTATAAATTTGTGTTCAACTGTTATCTCTGTTAAATTTGGCAAAATTGTAAAACGTAAACAAAAACAGTGACGACTGTTGAAATATACAGGGTGCTACAAATTCGAGGTACGAGCATTGGTATCTCGGTAACCGTAAAAGATACGAACATGGTTAAATTAGGGCAAAGTTGCGCTTTGGGATGTTCACCAAAATGCCATCAAAAAAGTTTTAAAAATTTCAAGGATTGCTGAGTTTTTTGGAAAAAACGGATATTTTTGAAAACCAATTTTATTTTTTCCTGTCGATACTTTTTAGAAAATCAAAAAACTAATTGCACATTCTCATAACTACTTTATTAGGGCTATCTGATAGTATTTTTAGATGTTCAAATTAGCTAATGATTTGTGAGATACAGAGGCCAACTTAATTTTTTTAAATACGGACCTGCATTTTTTATTTCAGATTTTGAAAGAACTCGCTTTCCTGAGTACAATGATATGCCACACTTATTATTTTTTTTTGTTTTGGAAATTTGTACACAATTTATTTAAATTAATTTCAAGTCCGGCTCTGTTTTTTTTAATATTTAATATATTCATCGTTATAATATTGATAAGCTTTCAAACTTAACAGTGACGTGGGTTGAATACAGAAAATCAAATGCAATAAAATAATAAAAAATAATATAAATAAAATGTAATATCGACAATCAAATCATTTCCCTGGAAGATGGATGGAAATGGTAGAGCAGTATAATGGCCAACACCTGGACCGTCTGATGACGTCAAGTTGACAGGTCCAAATTTTACAAAAAGTGAAAACAACACATCTCGGCAGTTACAATAAAGAGTACAAAATGCATTCGAAAGTATAAGAAGATCTATTCAAAAGCTATAAATAAAATTGAACGAAAAATAAATTTGTGCAATAGGGAGGGTGGTAACCCTTTCCAACATGTAGACTATGTAAAGCATTAGAAACTAGTTTGTATAAGTTAATTTATTCATAATAACTACGATTAATATTATGCAAATTATTAGATCGTACACTGGGAATTTCAAATTCACAATAAGAAAAGTTAAAAATAATATATTTAAATTGCTGACCTGGATATTATTTATTTGAATCTTTCACTTGGCTTGTTGCTCACTTATTCAATGTTAATTAGCGCTGATCAATATTATTGCGATAATAATCAGATTAAATGATTAAAAAAACCAGAGTCCGGACTTAGAGTATTTTAAATAATTAAATAGTTTCGTTATTGTTAGGGTACCCAAAACAAAAAAAAAGTATCAAGTGTAGCATATCATTGTACCCAGGAGACTGAGTTCTTTCAATGTGCAGGTCCGTCATTAAAAGAATTAAGTTGGCCACTGTATCTCACAAATTATTAGCTAATTTGAAAATCTAAAAATATTATCAGATAGCCCTAATAAAGTGGCCATGCGAATATGCAATTCGTTTTTTGATTTTCTAAAAAGTAACGACAGGAAAAAATAAAATAGATTTTCAAAAAAAATCCGTTTTAAAAATCCGTTTTTTGAAATTTTCAATACTCTTTTGATGGCACTTTTGGTGAACATTCCAAGGAGCAATTTTGCCCCAATTTAACCATCTTCGTATCTATTATGGTTTCCGAGATACCAATGCTCGTACCTCGGATTTGTAGCACTCTGTATATTGGAATCCCTCTAGGTTTAATAATTTCACTGAGTCTCAAACATATTTGTTCATAATACAGATGTATACGAATACGAACGTCACTTACTCATCAAAGCCACTCGGTATATTCACCTCTGTGTTCTCCAAAAAGTTCATGATATCGTGTGAACACGGTTTTATCTGAAGGCTTAAAAGCTGCATATTTGACTCATTTAGAAGACCCTACAATTAAAAAAAAAATGCGTAATACAAGTTTTTTGAAGTGAAAATTCAAGGCCGTGACATGTCACGACACGCGTCACGTAAAGTGGTAACGATAAAAAAAAGTGGTAAGACAATGAGGAAGTTGAGATAGGTCTTTGGAGCGTCGTAATTCGGGTCCTATTTGAGCTAGTGGGCTGAAATTCGGAATGAAGATCGAAGAGCCCCATCTTTTTATTAATTTTGCGTGCGATTTAAATGATATTTGGTATGTCGATAGATTGGATCAAAGCCAACTTGACCGTGTACGACACGTATCACTGTGACAGTTTTGACGTAAGAAACGTCAAAAGTTGATGTCGTCCGATCGCGACCAAATTTGGTGGGTAGGCTATGTGAGCAACGATGCACACGGTCTCACCCTGCAAAGTTGGATACAACGTTTCGTTTACATTTTCATCAGGGTGGGACTAAGAATTTGATATTGAAGAAAAATGTGGGTCGATTTCGGCATAATTGGGGACGGGCTACAGAGTGACGTCCTCGACGGTTCAAGTTTCAAACCGATGCCTCTAAATGGACGAAATTATCAGGATTTTTCTTAATTATGGGTAGATTGGAACTAAACTCGGCACGTGGATAGAGCTACCCGAATGGAATCCTCAGACGGAAAGACGGCAATTTTAATACAAATTTTGTGAAAATGAATCAAATTATTTATTAATTTATTACTTTTTCAACATTTAATAAACTACACTTTTTCAAATATGTCCTTCAAATCCTTCAATTTAATAGCTGTTAGTAAGAAGTTCCACTTCAAATATGCGCACATAGTGCACACACAATTTTTTTACGTATCTGTATCCTAGCAACGTAAAATAAAAGTAAAATAGAACAGAACAGTAGTTAGTAAGTGTTAAATAGAACAGTTTCGAGAACAAAATAAAAAATCAATGATCTATTGTAAAACTTACAGATATATAGATCATAATAAATGCTATGTTTAGCCATTGAATAGTTAATGAATTTTTGTTCAGAAAATTCGTAATGATATGCGGATTCGAACGAATTATGGATAATCAGTAAATACTTACCGTTTTATGCATTTTATTGTTCAGTTTGGCGTAGTGTAAAGCTAGAGCACAATATACAGAGAAAGTCTTGAATAAGTTTTCGTCAGACGATGTAAATACGACGCCATTTATTTTGTTTACCACTTGTACCACACCTGTAATATTATAGGAAAATATAATTTAATTCACAACTTTCAATATTT